TTCGTGCTAGTTAGAATAGTTTGGAACTCTGCTTCAAAATTTTGACAATCCTTCCCAAAAATATACAGCTGCTGCATCTAGGTTTTTATCAAAGTCCAGTTTATTGATAGGCAACAATGGTGTTGATTTCAGTACCCTTTAAAAGAACGGTTCGATTAAAGGAGTTTATCAGTTAATTCTATATTTGCCACTTTAAAGTAAATATAAAATTTTACCTGAAGTTTTATAGCACGGCAGCATAATTCGATCTTACGCACATAATTTTCATAAAGAAGAACCATGCGTAAGGTGCTGCACTGACTGATCTGAGATACCAGCTCGTCATGACTCCAATCAGTGACACTAGTGCCATTAACGGACAATATAACATCTCCTATTCAACATGATCAACGTAAATCGCGTGGTCTTTGAACTTACCAGTTCTCAGTCCAGCTAAAAAAGCTGGACCGTACAAATCTACGTAATCAATAAATGTTATGCGTTCCCGTTCGTCAGTATCTTTATGTTCAACAACATAGGACTAAAATTGCACACCCAAACGTAAGCATTAGAAAAAGACACAAGAAACAAACCACAACGTACCTGGACGGTGAATCCAAATTTCTCATCTGCCTTTCGTTCAATGACAACAGTTCTTCGATTCTTTATTTTACTCCTTTCAGTTTCGATAGAGTGATCTTGTTCAAATGTCTTCAGAACTTTCTGGAAAACTTGTTTTGATAAAATTATACAAATGGATATTCGGTTAATGCATTCAAATATTAATAAAAACAAGTTAAGTTACAGATACAGAAGTTTAACAAGTTGACAACGGTTGACATTTTTGCCTTAATAAAAAATTTATTAATAAAATCTAGCTGAATAATCAAACATTAGATATGGAAAGAGGTGACGATTCTTGCATAATTGAACAACAGTTTCTAGATCAATGGTTCAAGGAGCAACACTTACAAAAGATATATCAAATCCATTCTTACTGATACGTTTTGAAGTTCACACAAACGTCTTCATCAGGGTACCTAGACATAATTTAAACCAGTTCTACAGATAAACCCGCTGTCCGTAGCTCAAACTTATCGAATTTCGCAGTTCTGTTGACTGCAATTAACTTCAGCCTGGTTAGTTGGCTTGATTCAAAACAAGTCCAAATTCATCATATATTTAATCGACTTTCGCACTGGTCTCCACCAAGACTGCGTTCTGTCTCCTCCCCTGTTTGTGTTGTACATGGATAGAATAGTCAGGAGCAGGCAAGGCGATGAGTGTATCGTGTAGGAGATGTGAAGTCGAGAAGGTTGATGTTCGCAGACGACCTTCTTTTATTAGCATCCTGTGAAACTGATCTTCACTGCTATCTAGAAAGGTCCGCAGCCGAGTGCGACGTGACCGGCATGCGTGTGAACGCATCTAAAACGAAAAGCCTAGTACTTTCTCGTTCTCCTGCCCGTTGCATTCTTCAGATCAACGGAGAGGCAGTAGAGCAGATGGAGACGTTCAAGTACCTCGGAAATATATTTACTAGTGATGGAAAATTGGAGGAAGAGATGGACCGGCGAACTGGAGTAGCCGGTGGCATTCTGCGTGAAGTAGCCTGACAGACTGTGACTAAAGCAGAGCTCGGTCTGAAAACCAAGCTCTCGATATTCAAGTCGATCTTTATCCCCATACTTACCTACGGTCATGAGTCGTGGACCATGACTGAAAAGCTTCGAACCCGGGTACAAGCTGCTGAATGGGCTTTCTTAGACGAGGAACTGGCCTTACGCGTCTCGAAATGGTCTGGAATACTGACATCTGGAAGAGCCTTGGTGTACAGCCTCTGTTTCTCCAGACTGAGAAGTCACAGCTGCGATGGTCTGGCCATTTGTTGCGAATGCCCCCAGAAAGGAAGGCTAAGGAACTACTTCTTGCCATACCGACCGGCAATAGGCCCAGGGAACGGCCAAGATTGACCTGGTGCAAATATATGGAGTCTGTTCCAGACTCCAGTTGTCTTCTGCCAAAGCTGAGACTCTGGCACAAGATCAGGAACGTCGGAAACTCTGTCTGACGCATATGCCTCCGCGACCCGAAAGAAGAAGCAGCCATGGAAGACTAATGAATGAATGAATATATTTAATCGAACTTCTAATCGACGGTTAGGCTGGATATTACAAATAATTTAACTAAAAGTAGATAATGAGAAAGGGCCAATAATCAATTTAATTGCAAAGCCACTTGGATAAAAACAAACCCAAGAACTGCTGCTATCACAGAACGAAGAATATCGAGCTTAGAGACCACGTTCAAGAAGGAATAACTAGAAAAAATAGTCTGTATAGTCAGAATTGCACGTATTTTAGTGATTAGGCTTAAAGGGGCTTACGAACAGAACAAAAGACGAAGAAGAAGATTTATTGAGTTAAGCCAACTTCAAATGTCAACACAAACATCCGCTATTATACATTGACTAACCGGATTATGTGCATAAAACGAAGGCATAAGTAAAATAATGATAAATACAACAAAGAAAGAGCACACTGATCGGACGGTGCTGAACCGCTGATCTACCCAGGCAAAATAACAACAGTACAAGACGGGCAACAAAGCAGCCTTTAAATTCCTTAGGAAGTAAATGGCGTATGAAATTGTTCCGAGCCCTGCACAACCATTTGGGCTTGTACAAATCAATAGCCGAGATTAAATGACTGTGCAACTACAAGCTGACACACAGAACCCTGGGTGCAGATCCTGAAACTCTAACAATTATTTTCTACGAAAGTGAGGAATGAGGAAACAGTTATTGCACCGCTTCAAAACTTGCTTGTGTGAACCGCGAAATCTGAATGGTCATCGTACACCATTTCAGCTGAAAGCATACTTTGTTAGTGCAAGAAAATCAAAGATTCCACGATTGCGGAATCAGATAGATTACATTCCTAGGTCTCGAAGCTTGACACCAACTCACTTTTAGAAGTCTTTGCTGGAATGTACAATCGCTACATAGCAGAATGTGTGGCATCAAATTCATGGCACACGGTGCGAATATCTCATATCCAGAAATCATTTAGGCCGTTTACAGTAGCTGAGTAAAGCCGCACTGCAGTGGCCCTAACTGCGTTTAAATGCTTGTAAACAATTGCCGCTTTGTCGGTTTATTCAAATGTGTTGAAAGATGTGGATCTTTCGCCACTGGGTTGAGTGGGGGGGGGGGACGAAATACCCGCTTGAGTTAATCTTAGTTGTAAACGAGGTTGCCAATAACCTCGACGAAGAGCTAGCATTAGCAACGGGTGCCTTTCTGGACTGCAGCTCAGCCTATTACACATTGCTAAGACTTCAGTTGATCAGACTATTAGCCAGCATTGGCATGGAGTCTTACATAGCCAACCTGCCGGCCAGATATTACTCGAGATTACGAGGGTTTGTTCAGGTCAGCAAGAAGAAATATGTAGCGCGCCTGAAGACGCGTAGCTTGTTGACATCGTCTGAAACTGATCTCGAGCGCTTTTTCGAAAGGTCGTATCCGAGTGCAACGTGGTGGGCATGTGTTTCAACGTGTCTGAAACGAAAACCTAACGGGTTTTCGTTTTTCTGCATGTTGCGCTCTGCAGATAATCAGGAAAGCGGTAGTAAAGTAGAGAAGTTGACTTACCTCCGGATCGTGTTTAATGGTGATCGGAGGAAGAGATCGACTGGCGCAATAAAATGGTTAACGGTGTTCTACGTGAACTAGCACGAAGCGTTGTGACTAAGGCAGAAGTGACTCCGAAGACTAAGCTCTCTGTGTTCAAGTCGATCTTCATCACAATGTTCACCTATGGTCATGAATTATTGGCCATGGTTGAAAAACTTTTATCTTCGGTACAAGTGGCTAAAATGGGCCTTCTGAGACAAATCGCTGGGTTCATGCCTTTCGACCTGGTTCGGAGTTCAGACATCCGAGAGAGCCCTGGTCTACAGCCGATGCTTCTTTAAACTGAGAATTCACGGCTGCAATGGTGTGAGAAAGTCCTGCGAATGCGTTTAGAGTAAGGCGATACAGCTACTAGTTTATCAGCTGACCGGCGGAAGACCCTGGAAACGGCAAAGAGTAACGTGGGGCAAGTGTCTTGAAAGATTCGGATTACCTTCTGCCGAAGTTCAAACGCCGGACTCTGGATAGGGGGCACTGGAGACACTGTTTGACGTGTCTGCCTTTGCGTATCGAAAGAATAAGCGGTAATCGAAGCTGATTGACGGACTGGATTCAGAACAGCCCAAATATGAATTATAGCGTTTCTTCGCTTTCAGCGAACCAGCGGGAAACTGGCTCAGCGACAATGGCTTACACACTAAATCTTAAGAAATCTGTGGACTGCAATTTCTTTCGTGCAATGTGTATAAGCAGAGTCTGTACGGAACTTGCTTTACCAAGTGCGCAGCTAATCAATAACTTGTTTGAAAAAACTCCGTGGCAAAATACCTGGGCTGATCGTGGATGAGATTCTGGGAACAGTAAATTAATACAATGGTTGGTAAAATGCGGCATCTTTTTAGGTGCTGTGCAAATTGAGGAGGTGGTGCGTTAGTGAAGAATGTTGAAAGACCATCAAATTCCGCATTCCACCGCTTTTCCTCCACACCTCTACTTCTGCAGTCTCCAGAAAAGAACAGAATTGGCTCACTGGAGATTTCTGAAACTTTTAGTCGACTCTTGATTAAGAAAGCAATTGCTCCAGGAAGTTCCATTTTAACCGACAAAACAAACCCGCTATACCAATGTTTGCAATAATACCTTTCGAAGCAGCCTAGCAAAATATTCGTGTACATTACTTGATGGTGCCGGACTGAGGTTTGCCGAAAGACAGATTTTCTGCTCAGTGTCCGACGAGTAAAAAATGCCATGAAAAAGCAATAATCCTGGACCAGATTCTAATGAGCCTGGCACAGATCTACTTTCCTACTTTCATTGCATGTTTTGTCGCTTTTGCTTGTTAATAGTTATATCCAGGGCCTTGGCAATTTATTGTGTGCCTTAGGGTTCATTGACGTGAATCTAACTGACACTTGACGAACGACTGAACGTGGTGATCAAATAAGCAGTAGCAACGACCATGCACGGAATGAGCAAAAAATTTAGAACATATATAAATGAAGATAAAGGAATCGATAATTACCTTAATGTCTTCTTCCCCGGAGGAGCACCATTCGGAGTTAGTGTTCGAAAGCTGACTTATGTTTGGAAAAGAATGACAGAGCTTTGTCTTCTTTCTAAAACGCTTGATAAAACTGCGTTGATACGAGAACGTACCTGAACGAACGAACGGAGGCAGGTGAAGCAGCAGAGCGACTTTTCTGTGCAAAGTAATCTGACAGCGAAATTTTACTTGCCGTGCAACTGATATGGGTATGCAATGACCGAGAGTCAGGTTTGGTCTTTGTGCGGCAAAAAACTGACTCAAACAAACTATTCATGTCATCATGGCGACGGCGATAAAACCAGGCCTCGCTGTGAATAAAGCATATGTAGAAATAACGCGCCTTAATAAATTAAAAACGCTTTTCATAAACGAGCGA